CCTGGTAACAATTTAACATACAACTAAATCTTTATGATTTACAGATGGATTGCTTGAATTATACTTTATCTTTGGTGACTCAGCTCTTCCCCACCTTTGCCACTTTGCCAGGTTCAAGTATGCTGGAAAGGAAGCAGAACTGAGTCAGAGTCAAACATGCGGAGTCTAATCATGGGGTGTGTGTATGTGTGTTTGAGAGAGAGAGACAGAGATTTGTTTAATTCCCAAGCCAAACTCAAGATGGTCCATTGTGTTGTTGGAGGAGATGGTTACCCCATTCTCCATGATGTTTTTATTTCACAGGGCTCATCCCTGTATCAAAATATCTCACGTGTGCCATAAATATATGCACCTACTGTGTACCCACAAAAATTAAAAATAAAAGAAAGAAAGCTGGAAGGCACATTAAAAAAGAAGATTGTTATTTTTTAAAGTCCCTCCCATTCAGTTAGATAAATTATTACATATAACTAAAGAGAAAGCTGGACACCTTTTCTTCCTGCCTTCCTTTTCCCCTTTTCCCTGCCTCACCCCTTCCTTTCTTCATTTCTAATATTCTCATTTCAGCTTAAAGCCAAAGGTTGTTTAGCAGCAGGGTAGGAAGGATACTTTATATCCAACCCTCAGCTTGATTTCTTCTAGTCCTTAGGGTGACATTGACCTGGCTCTGAGGACCAGTGCACTCCAGCTCCCCGGATGTGCTCTCCCGGCTGGTTGAGACCACAGCCTCTGCACAGCAGTTCACCCCGGAGCCTCCTGTGCCTGGCTGCCTTTGTCCTTCTCCCTCCTCTGTTTGCTCCCCGCTCATTCTCGTCTGCCTTTGTCTGTCTCTGTCTCATGCCTCCCTCCATCTCCACATCTGCTGTTCCTCTTCTCTGCTTCTCTTTCATTCACTAACATTTTCCCCCTTTTTCTCACTGAAACCTTGAAATTATAATATAAAATATTTTTATTCTTGAATTTAAATGGAAAAGGTGATTTGATAAATTAATTTCTTTAAAGATGTAATTGTTGCAACTTCTAATTTTTTTTCCAACAAGTTGGTGACCTTTGATGGAAACACAGCAGCATCACTGCAGCTTACAGAATTACTGCTTAGCAAATGCATGAGACATTCAAAGGGACTTCTGATCAGTTTTCTAAGTTTCTCATGATTATCTTTTTTTTTTTTTTTTGAGGCAAGGTTTCACTCTGTCACCCGAGCTGGAGTGCAGTGGCTCACTGCAGCCTCTGCCTCCTGGGCTCAGGTGATCCTCCCACCTCAGCCTCCCAAGTAGCTGGGACTTCAGGTATGTGCCACCACACACGGCTAATTTTTGTATTTTTTTTTTTGTATTTTTTGTAGAGATGAGGTTTCACCATGTTGCCCAGGCTGGTCGTGAACTCCTGGGCTTAAGCCATCCACCCTCCTTGGCGTCTCAAAGTGCTGGGATTACAGGCGTGAGCCACCACACCCTGCTTCATGATTATCTGAGAAAGAAAACATAATAAACATTGAAATGCATAATGATCATTTGTATTTTTGTTTGTTTGAGACAGAGTCTCGCTCTATCCCAGGCTAGAGTGCAGTGGCACAATCTCGGCTCACTGCAGCCTCTGCCCCCCAGGTTCAAGTGATTCTCGTACCTCAGGTTCCTCGGTAGCTAGGATTATAGCTGCCCACCACCACGCCCAGCTAATTTTTATATTTTTAATAGAGATGGGGTTTTGCCATGTTGGCCAGGCTGGTCTCAAACTCCTGACCTCAAATGATCCATCTGCCTCGGCCTCCCAAAATGTTGGGATTATAGGCCTGAGCCACCGCAACACACATGAAATGCATAATGCTCTTTCAGCAGGGTTGCCAACTTTAGCAAATGAAAATACAGGATGCCTAGTTAAATTTGAATTTCAGATAAACAAATCATTGTTTAGTGTGTGACCCATGCGATATTCGAGACAAATTTATACTAAAAAAAGTACTTGCTGTTTATCTGAAATTCAAATTTAACCAGGCATTCTGTATTTTATAATTGACTATATTCATAATATTTGTGTGTGCATATATATATGTGTATGTGATATTTGTGAGCTGGGTGTTTTTAATTTGGGGACTATTTACAGTTTCCTTGCTATTTCTCCTCCCTTATGCAGTATATAAAGTATTCCCTTTACATTTTACCCCTTGGGTATATATACTTTATTCCATTTCCTTCCAACTTTATCTTAAAAGTAGATGGGTTAAGAGAAAAACGTACCAATGTATTCAATTCTCTATCACCTCCCTCTGAAAAAGGTGTTTACTTAATAAACATCAGGCAAGGGCAGCACTTTTGAACCTCTTTTAAAACAGTCAGCTTTATGGTTACACTAAGTAGATTTGTTCTTAACTTCTCTCTCTCATTTTAAAACAAAATGTCTGAAATTATGAATAACTATAGTAATAGTAGCTAACATGTATTGAGCACTTACTATCAGGCACTGTTCAACATTATATAATGGCTTAAATCACTTACACCCCACAAACCATTGACATAGGTACCATTAGTACCCCTACTTTGGAGATGAGGAAAGAGACACAAAGAAGTTAGGCAAATCCCAGTTTCCCATTATTAATATTTTACATTAGTATGATACATTTGTCACAATTAATGGACCCATGTTGGTATAGATTATTATTAGAGCCCATGTTTCATTCAGATGTCCCCAGTCTTTCCCTCGCGTCCTGTTTCTGTCCCAGGATCCCATCCCGGGTGCCGCATTTCACTTAGCCATCCTGTTGCCTTGGACTCCTCTCGGTTGTGAGTTTCTTAGGCTTTCTTGGTTCTTGATGACTTTGACAGTTTTGCACAGGACTGGTTGCATATGTCGTAGAATGTCCTTCGGTTGGGGTTTGTCTGGTGTCTCTCATGGTTAGACTGGGGTTGTGGGTTTGGGGGAGGGGGACCCACAGGAATAAGTGCTGTCCTCATCAACCTTGACCACCTGGCTAAGGGGGTGTTTGTCAGCTTTCTTCATGATAAAGTTATTCTTTTTTTCCCTCTTTCCATACTGTACTCTTTGAAAGGAAGTCATATTCCTAACCCACACTTTATGGTTATTATGATTGAGCTATTTTTTAAACGTCAGCTTTATGGAGACACAATGCACGTTATATAATGCACCTATTTACAGCGTACAATTCTGTGGCTTTCAGTATATCCAGAACTGTGCAAGCATCACCTCAATCTACTTTAAAACATTTTCATCACCCCAAAAAGAAACCCCATACCCATTAACAGTCATTCCCCTTTTCCCTCCCCTCCATGCCTCCCCCAGCCCATGGCTACCATGAATCTACTTTCTGTCTCTACAGATTTGCCTATTCTGGACATTTCATAGAAAAGGAATCATGCAGTATGTGGTGTTTTGTGACTGGCTTCTCTCACTTAGCATAACGTTTTTGAGGCTCATCCATGTTCTAATATGTTTTAGTATTTCATTCTTTTTTATTGCTGGATAATATTTTATTGTATGGATAGACCGCATTTTGTTTACTGATACATCCATTGCTGGACATTTGGGTTGTGTCCACTTTTTGACTTCTATGAATAAGATTGGTACGCACATTCAGGTACAAGTTTTTACATGGACGTGTTTTCATTTATCTTGGCTAAACACCTAGAAGTGGAATTGTTGGATGTACTTGAGCTATTATTAAAAATAATAAAAAATGGCTGGGCGTGGTGGCTCACGCCTGTAATCCCAGCACTTTGGGAGGCTGAGGTGGGTGGATCACTTGAGGCCAGGAGTTTGAAAACAGCCTGGCCAACATGGTGAAACCCTGTCTCTACTAAAAATACAAAAATAATTAGCCAGTTGTGGTGGCAGGCACCTGTAATCCCAGCTACTCAGGAGACTGAGGCAGGAGAATAGCTTGAACCCAGGAGGCGGAGGCTGCAGTAAGCTGAGATCGCACCATTGCACCTTCAGCCTGGGCAAAGAGAGTGAAACTCTGTGTCAAAAAACCAAAAACCAAAAGCGAAAACATAGCTGACTAGGCTGTGGGCTGTCCCTGCTTCAGTTCTCCATACTGGCTAGGAAAATTTAGCTGATTGTCCTATAAAGCCAGAAAAGACCCCTCTAATCTGTGGGCAAGTACCCAAACTGCAAGAATGTTGACTAAGATGAAAGAAAACAGCTTCTAAAAGCCTGTCTACACATCCCATCCTATAAACCTAAGGCGAATAACATAGCTTATCTGTACTGAAAAAAATACAGATCCCATATATTACTAGCTTCTGTTAAAAAGTTATGATAGGAAAGTTGTCTGTCCTAAGTCTAGATGTTCTTCAAGGCGCACAAAGAGTAAGTTGTTTGTGCCACATTTTCTTTATCCATTCCTCCATAGACAGATACTTAGGTCAGTCTTGGCTCCATATCTCGGCTATTATGAATAATGCTGCAATGAACATGACAGTACAGATAGGACTTCAACCTACTAATTTCATTCCTGTTGTATACGTACACAGCAGTGGGAATGCTGGATCATAAGGCAGTTCCATTTTTAATTTTTAAAGGAATCTTAATACTATTTTCCATAATGGGTATACCAATTTACATTCCACCAACAGTGTACAATGGTTCCCTTTTCTCCACCCCTTTGCCAATACTTGTTATCTCTTGTCTTTGTGATAATAGCCAGCCTCACAGATGTGGTACATACATACAATGGAAAGTTATTCAGCCATAAAAAGCAAGGAAATCCTGCCATTTGGAACAACATGGATGAACCTGGAGGACATTATGCTGAGTGAAATCAGCCAGGCACAGAAGGACACATATTGTATGATCTCATTTATACATTGATATGGTTTGGATTTGTGTCCCTGCCCAAATCTCATGTTGAATTGTAATCCCCAGTGTTGGGGGAGGGGCTGGCAGGAGATGATTGATCATGGGGGCGGATTTCCCCCTTGCTGTTCTCGTGATAGTGAGTGCGTTCTCATGAGATCTGGTTGCTTAAAAGTGTGTAGTACCGGTCTGCAGAATCTGCACCAACCAGCACCATGCCCACGACACTGGGGTATGGGGACATCCACGGGCTGGCACACGCCATCTGCCTGCTCTTGGAATATACAGACTCAAGCTACAAGGAAAAGAAGTACATGACGGGGGACTCTCCTAACTATGACAGAAGCCAGTACCTGCATGAAAAATTCCAGCTGGGCCTGGACTTTCCCAATCTGCCCTACTTGTTCGATGGGGCTCACAAGATCACCCAGAGCAATGCCATCCTGTGCCACATTGCCCGCAAGCACAACTTGTGTGGGGAGACAGAAGAGGAGAAGATTCGTGTGGACATTTTGGAGAACCAGTCCATGGACAACCTGATGCAGCTGGCCATGATCTGCTACATCCCAGAATTTGAGAAAGTGAAGCCAAAGTACTTGGAGGAACTCCCTGAAAAGCTAACGCTCTACTCGCAGTTTCTGGGGAAGCGGCCATGGTTTGCAGGAGACGAAATCACCTTTGTGGACTTCCTCGCCTATGACATCCTTGACCTGAACTGTATATTTGAGCCCAGCTGCCTGGATGTCTTCCCAAACCTGAAGGACTTCATCTCCCGATTTGAGGGTTTGAAAAAGATCTCTGCCTACATGAAGTCCAGCCAATGCTTCCAATGTCCTTTGTTTGGGAAGTCAGCTATGCCTGGGAGCCTGGAGAACACTGGAGAACAGCCCGACTCCCTGAACCAGGCTTCTTCCTTTTTTCTTCTTTCCACTCTCTTCTTTTCCCCCCAGGCCTCATTGGCTTCCTTTCTTCTAACATGATCCCTCCTGCATCGAGGCTCTTTAAAGCTTCAGCTCCCACTATCTTCCATCAAAGTCCCCCTCCTAACATCTCCCTTTTTCTGCACTAACACCAACCTGACTGCTTTTCCTATCAGCGCTTGTTTCTTCTTTGAAAAGCTGGACTGATCCCTGAGCTCCCCAGCACTGTCCTCAAAGACCATCTGCATGCCCTGCTCCCTTTGCTAGGTCCCTACCCCAGCCCTGTGTGATGCCCAGTAAAGCCTGAACCATGAAAAAAAAAAGTATGTAGTACCTCCCCCTTCACTCTCTTCCTCCTGTCTGGCCATGTGAAGATATGCTGTTTCTTCTTCACCTTCTGCCATGATTTTAAGTTTTCTAACGCCTCCCCAGCCATGCTTCCTGTAGAGCCAGCTTGTCCAACCCACGGCCCACAGGCTGCATGTGACCCAGAATGGCTTTGAATGTGGCCCAACACAAATTTGTAAACTTTCTTAAAATATTATGAGATTTTGAACTCAAGATGGATCAAGGACTTAAATCTAAGACGTAAAACTATAAAAACTCTAAAATATAACATCGGGAAAACTCTGTTAGACATTGGCTTAGGCAAAGACTTCATAACCAAGAACCCAAAAGCAAATGCAACAAAAACAAAGAAAAATAGATGGAACTTAATTAAACTAAAAAGCTTCTGCACAGCAAAATAAACAATCAGCAGAGTAAACAGACAACCCACAGAGTGGGAGAAAATCTTTGCAATCTATACATCTCATAAAGAACTAATATCCAGAATCTACAAGGAGCTCAAACATATTAGTAAGAAAAAAAAAATATATGTATCATCAAAAAGTGGGCTAGGCTGGGCGCGGTGGCTCATGCCTGTAATCCCAGCATTTGGAGGCGGGTGGATCTCAAGGTCAGGAGATAGAGACCATCCTGGCTAACACGGTGAAACCCCATCTCTACTAAAAATACAAAAAAATAGCCAGGCATGATGGCACATGCCTGTAGTCCCAGCTACTCGGGAGGCTGAAGCAGGAGAATCTCTTGAACCCGGGAGGTGGAGGTTGCAGTGAGCTGAGATCATGCCACTGCACTCCAGCCTGGGCAACAGAGCGAGACTCTGTCTCAAGAAAAAAAAAAAAAAAAGTGGGCTAAGGACGTGAATAGACAATTCTCAAAAGAAGATATACAAATGGCCAACAAACATGAAAAATTGCTCAGCATCACTAATGATCAGGGAAATGCAAATAAAACCCACAATGTGATACCACCTTACTCCAGCAAGAACAATGAGTGGATAAAGAAATTATGGTGTACACACACACACACACACACACACACCATGGACTACTACTCAGCCTTAAAAAGGAATGAAATAATGGCATTTGCAGCAACCTGGATGGAATTGGAAACCATTATTCTAAGTAAAGTAACTCAGGAATGGAAAAACAAACATCCTTTGTTCTCACTCATAAGTGAGAGCTAAGCTATGAGGATGCAAAAGCATAAGAATGATACAGTGGACTTTGGGGACTTGGGAGAAAGGGCGTGCAGGATAAAAGACTACACATTGGGTACAGTGTACACTGCTCAGGTGATGAGTGCACCAAAATATCAGAAATCATCTCTGAAGAACGTATTCATGTAATCAAACACCATGCTCTAAAGCCTTATATACTGAATTGAGGAGTTTGAACTTTATTCTCAGAGCTAGGAAACTACGCACATAATCTGAGTGTGTGATGGTGCTGAGAGGTGTTTCAGAATGTGACCTCTAGCATTTGGCATCTGGCTTCATGATGTAGTTACTGTGTGTGAATTTCGATCTCTGCATCTGCAAAATACACTAATACTTGTGTTTGCCTTTTAAGAATATTTTGAGAATTAAGATAATACACACACACACACACACACGTATTAGGAGATTTTTTTGCAATTTTTTTTTTTTTTTTTTTTTTTAGCTCATCAGCTATTGTTAGTTAGTGTTAGTGTATTTTATGTGTGGCCCAAGATAATTCTTCTTCCAACGTGGCCCCGGGAAGCCAAAAGATTGGACACCCCCGCTGTAGAGTCTGCGGAATCATGAGCCAATGAAACCTCTTTTCTTTACGAATGACCCAGTTTTAGGTATTTCTTTATAGCAGTGCAAGAACGGACTAATACATACATGAAATCTGAAAAAGGCTGAACTCATAGAAGCAGAGAGTAGAACGGTGGTTGCCAGGGGCAGGAGTATGGGAACTGGAGAGATGTTGATCAAAGTACAAACTTTCCGTGCTAAAATGAACAAGTTCTGGGGATCCACCGTGCAGGATGGGTGGTAGTGGACGTATTCATTAATTTGATTGTGGTAATCATTATACAGTGCGTATGTGTATCAAATCGTCATGTTGGACATGTTGAATATATTCAATCTTTATTTGACAAGTAAAACTTTTTTAAATGAAGAGTAGTTTCTGCCTAAGTCTTGTTGTTGAAACTCTTCTAAGGTTGCTGCTATCGCTATTAGAACTAAGTATTATTATTTATAAGGAAAATGGGAGCTAGAAAAAGGCACAGCAGCTACTACTTTCCAAAGCAAGGGATGCATGTGCCATTTTAAGGAAGCATTAGCTAGAAGGAAAATGTAAATGATTTCACAGTTTTGTGCACCAACACTTCTACACTGGAAAAGTGGGAGGGACAGGAACAAAGAATGAATCTATATAGTCTGGAATATCACCTCTTCCCATTAGCTGCTCATGGTAGGAACTAGTTCAGCTAATCAGCAAGATTAACAAATCAAAAAATATTTGATCATTTTCCTATCCTTGGTGAAATGAAATTAAGCCTGAGCAATTTGCAATAGGTAGCATTTTAACTGTTCCCTTAAAAAGGAACTGTTGATGGTACTTTTATAAAATTGCCTTTTTCCATATCTATTATTCCTTTGAAATATGATCACCAAAATTAAGCAGCACATTTTTAGGGATGGTATTTTTGCAGAGAATAAGAAAGGTGGAAATAAGTCTGTTTGTGATGCATCATAAGACACCAGAAGACAGTGGTCAACAGAAACTCCGCAGTCTTCTCTTTCTTTTGTTCCTTTTTCCTTCCTGAAGGATCTATTATAGGGCCCCTCACACAACCGGAATAAAATAGCTGTTGGCTGATTGCTAACTGATTTACTTCTGTCTCCACTTACAGAATTTTGCTGACTCTTGATAGAAAAGATGCGTATTAAGCAATCTATTGAAATGCAAGTCATGGTCTGGTCATCATATGTAAGGTACAGCATAACGTTAGGGTATTGTACAAAAGAAAGTAACAGAAAATTGCTTCTTTAAAGAATGCAATCGTGGGTGTACACTAAAATAAAGTCCTTAAAAATGGTAGTGGTGCCTAGACTAGTGTGTGGTTTGAAAGGAGGATTCTCTGGTTGCTATTCAGATGGCAACATCTGAGGAAACAGCCAAAGGAGAAAAACTACCTAAGGAAGAGGGAGGAAATCTCTTTTCCTGGGGACATTTGCAAGCTGACTAGACTCAACTCAGCCTGGAATGATGTAGATCAGAGTTGGTGTGCAGGGAATGCGTCTCAGGTAGGTTGAGATAATGATCATTTTAGCCCTAAGGGGAGCTGGCCAGGACTGGGGCCCACAGAGAACCAAGGGTGATTATTTGTGTCCATGGGGGCCTCTTGTATTTACCCCTATGTGCCATAAAGGTATCACTTCTATCAACTCTATGATGTGAAACAGGTTGAGAAGCTAGTATATAGAGGAAGCTTGACAGAGGCTGACCTAGATGATTATTCAGCAAGGGTTAAGGATAAAACAAATTCTCCCTCACTCCTTCTCATGAAGATGAACTATGGTACAATAATTGCAATTCATTTTTTATTTAGCTTTAGAATTTGATTTTGTTTTTAGATTAAAATATGGGCATCGGTAATATCTTCAGGGAGTGGGAACCAAAGGGTTTTAGTCTAGCATTAGAGAACTCAGCATCAAGTTTTCTAGCACCTAATTTAACGTGTTTCTTGGTTACTCGATTCTCATAACTGGGGTTCCACCTTATTCCCCTCTGCCTGACATCCTGTCTTGATGTTTTGCCTTGTACCCCAGAACCCCCGGAACTGAGGTCCTTCTCTTGTTCTTACAAGTCTTTTCTCCAAAGGAATGAACTTCTCTGCTCCTGAAATCAAGCCCAGAGCATTCCAGGAAGAAAAAACAACAACATCTGTAGAGATGCTGAGACAAGAACAAACATGGCGTGTGCGGGGAGCTTGCAAGTCGTTCAGCATGACTTAAGTGAAATGGAAGGTTCTAAGAAGAGTAAGTGGTCGAACTACAAAGGTAGACAGCAAACATATCATGAAAGGCCTGACCTGTCATCTTAAGGATGACATAAGGTCCTCATGCCCTCATCCTGCTGAGAGTGTACTGTGGATACACAGATATTATGTATAGCATATGTAAACACAATACACATTTTAACATATTTTATTATAAAATAATGCACTTTATTATAAAATAACATACTTTATTATAAAATACTGCATGCTTATTATAAAAACACTTGGAAAATGTGGAGAAATTTTAAGAAAAATAAAAATATCACCTGTCATCCCATTAGCAAGATAGTATCATTGATATTTTTGTGTATTTCTTTCCAGATTTATTTTGTGCACATGACACATCATTATTTAACTTATGTAGAGTGGTCTGCTTCTATCACTTAACAGTACATCTTCTACTTTTCCCATGTTGCTAAAATTCTTCCAAAACACAATTTTAATGATTATATGACATTTCATCTTAAGTAGTACAATTTATTTAGACATTCCCTTAGTATTTGAAAATGGGTTGTTTTAAATTTTTTTCTTCTTATGAATAACAGTGCAATAAGTGCCCCTGTACATAATACTTATATTCTTCACTGATTATTACCTTGGATGGTTTCCTTGCAGTAGAATGTCTGGGTCAAAAAGCAAAAACGGGCCGGGTGCCATGGCTCAAGCCTGTAATCCCAGCA